AGTTGAAGGAACGTCAGCAGCGACTGACGGAAATCAGTGAATCTGGTGCCAGGGTCAGGACCAACCTATGCAGCACAAACTGAACGAACAACTAAAATCCCAATCATCGGCGGTTTAGGCCCGGAAAGGCAAAGAGGAAAGAATGCACAATGGGGGCACCAAAATCAATCTCATGGTTATAAAATGAAATGTCATGATAGTTGATGTAATTTGATGTAGTTGATAATAGTTGTCCGATTCTCCTAAGCCATAAATGTGGGCCCCCGCCTTGGACGCCTGCACAAAAGAAAAATACTGCAGATCACTCCTCAAATTGCGTCTCTTCTCGAAGGCTTTGCTCCTCGCAACTGTCTAGCTAGAATTTCAGCCCTCAAAAGCTTCAACGCTGAACATGTCCATTTTCAATTTGAACATTGGCCATGCGATTCAACGGTCTCTCGGTCTCTCCTCGTAGCGGGTTTCCATGCTACTTTCCTGGCTTCAAATTGACGCTCACAGACTCGGCATCACGTGACAACTTGAACGAAGGGATCACCAGAGACCCGGGAAACGTGAGCATCAAATAGGCTTAATTTGGCTTCCCAAGCGAAAGACGGGCCTGCAAGGATTGCAGTAGTTTGGCCTCATGGATTGCATGGCGGTCTGTTTTGCCGCATTCCAATGATCTGTGGACATTGCGGCCATTTCATTGGTCCAAAAATTCAAGTGTTTTTTCTCACAACGGATACCCAAAATGGCCAGCGTCACGTTAATGGCGATAAATGATAAACCCCGTGAATACCATCGGATTTGGGGGTATAGCCCGGTAGCCAATGGGCTTGGGTTTTGCTGACGTCACTGACGTCGATGTCTCTCGTATTTTTCTCTTGGCTTCCAGCATCTCCAGGGCCGTCCTTGGCCCAGAGCTCCTGCTGCTTGAGCACCTGGCAGCAAAGGGCCTCTCTTCAGGGATCATAGATGGTCAAAGGATGTCATAGGATGTCATAGGGGTGGTAAAGAAAGTAATAAGATGCAATCTAAGATGTAATAAGTAATAAGTTTAACAAGTGTTTTCAGGTATGGATTTCACTGGGTGAAGGGTATGGTATGGTTTATGACATTGGGGGTGCCAAATGATACACTTTCAAATTTAAACATCTCGTGGTGGAAATGCTGATTTCATCTGTGGCTATGTTCAAATCCTGGGCATTGCCTATCATTGCCTCATGTATTCTCATGTGTCATTATGTTTAAAATGTTCCTTTCGTTTCAGATGTACTCAAGATTTCAGACCCAATGGAGCAGGTTTCGAATGGATCATCTCAAAAGCCGATCTGGTTTCGTCTGAAAATGTTGGGTACCCCAAAATGCCGTGGTCAGCCATCCTTTTCCCACTGCATGGTGAAAATTTGGGGCAACAACAAACTGCGGGTTGTAATTCCTCGGCTGGTCCATCCTCACAAAAAAAAACGTTGCCTACTGCAATTGTGTGCCAAATTTCCCAACATGTAATTCCGTTCTGTCTCTCTCTCTCTCTCGGTTTTCTCTGTATATTTGTTCAATAGTGTTTCCTTGTTCTTCCACTTGGGTTTCCCTCTCTTTTCTTGGACTTCCCCAACTTTTCTCGGATGCTTATCTTATCTGGATTTCCCTCAACTGGCTTTGTCCAAACATTTGGAGAGTATCCCAATGTGTGGCCATTCAACATCTAGCTGGGGAAAATGTGGGAAATTATACCCAGATATACCCAGTTACACTTATTTATCACTTATTGGATGCCCATTATTTTAAGTGTAACTGGGTATATCTGATGATATCCATGGATGATATCCATGGATGATGATATCTAAAATATTTATCATTCAACATCCATGCTTTCCCCACGACGACATTGGCACAGCAATCTCCAGCTCCGAGAAGGACGTGCGCAGTTGGGTCGTCACGTCACAGGCTTCCTACGGGATTTCATGGCGACTTGGTTGATGATTCTTGTAGGAAATCCGATGGAAATGCTATGGAAATCCTATGAATCAGAACTTCATACCCCAAGAACAATCAGAAATGATTTGAGTTGCCCGTGTTTGGCTTAAGACTGGTGGCGGAGGGGGGGGGGTGGTGCACGGCAAGGTGCTACAATTTCAAAAATAGGTGCTCAAATTTAGGGGAATAGGTGTTTTTTTGAAGAAACCCAGTCGGGATCCAGTCGGGACCCAGTCGGGACCCAGTCGGGACCCAATCGGGCACCAATTTTAGCATTTTTGGGCACCGCTTTTGGCCAGTCGGGGCGCCAATTTTCGAATTTTTTGCACCACGTTTGGACCTGTCGGGAAGCAGCCAAATCACCCAAAAACGCGCAAAAACACTGCAAAAATGCTGTTTTTTGTGCATTTGGCTGCCTCCCGACATTGGTGCCCGACTGGATCCCGACTGGATCCCGACTGGATCCCGACTGGCCAAAAGCGGTGCCCAAAAATGCAAAAATTGATGCCCGACTGGGTCCCGACGGGATCCCGACGAGATCCCGACTGGATCCATAGATCGGCAAGAACCCACTCCCGCACCTATTTTTCCCTTCCCAGACCCACCCTTGCCCCTATTTTCCTTTTCCGCGCACCAGCCGTGCACCAATACCCCCCCCCTCCTGCACCAAAACGGCAAAAGCAGTCTTAAGCCAAACGGGGGTTCTACAAGAAATGATTGATTCATGTTCATTTTTATGGGATTCATAGCACCAAAAAGGATTCGAAAAGAAGATGGTTCTGATATGCCTCAATAAAATTCATACCCCCATAGATGAATCCGATTCATCTGTAAAATTCTGATGTATAGCGGATGCGATCTGGGACCGGTGGGGATGGACAACTCTGGATCCGTGGATCCTGTCGCCAGTCCTTCGCATCATGCGCAGCGCTTGTCACAACACTACGTTCATCTGCCAAGTGCCATACCTGACGCAAGAAGTGCTTCGAAGTGCTTCGAAGTGCTTTAGTTGAGAGCCATCTAAGTATAACTGGCTTTGTCCAAAAATAGGGAGGGCGCTGAGCATTCCTATGTTTTATCATCATGTTCATCTTTCCCATACTCGCAATGTTGGTGAATACTTATGACCTCCCATTTCTGGATCCCAGTAGATTGCAACGTTGTCAGTGCGCATGACATGAATCTCGCACCGTATCCCTGATGACCGCCATATCGCGGAGGAGTCCTGCGACGTCGGTGTCTCAAGAAGCCGTTGATCTCAAGCTCCAAGATGGTGTATAACGGTGTATATGTGACAATATGTGTATGCATCTATTATGTGCGCTATTAGATTTGGTAAAATGCATATGATGTGAAAAGATGTTGTATTTGTAGATATGTCCTGCGTATTGCATTCACCTATTCTTCGCCACCTTACTCCTGCAAAAATGGGTGTCGACCTACTTTCATGGGTGATTTCCCTGCCAGAACAGACTACTACCAGAGGGTCTCATCAGTTAAGTCTCACTGTTGGATAGCCATACAATATCGCGTTTGAATTGTTCAGCCGGTCAAATATGGTGAAGTATGGTGGAGTTATGGTGAATAGCACCCCTGTTTTGCTCGTTACAGTCGTCCTTTCAGCAGCACGGCATGGCGTTGCAGTTCCGCTTCGATGTCTAAGCCCGTCAGCCGCCCAAAGAAACCGCTCCTGTCCACGGCTTTCAGTTCCATGGGAAAAACGCGCCAAATTCACAGGATATATGTGGCAAATTGTTGTAAATTGTGGCAACATGCGCAAGTTATGTCAAGTTCTCATGTCGAAGAATGTCGATATTCGTTGCCACTTGATGTACTGCAATTCATTCTGTGGCTGTTTCCAAGCACCTTATTAATTTAGCCTGAAGCAGAGGTGCAAAATCCCAATGTTCAATCGGGCTAATGTACCACTTCTGACAAGTTAAACAACTAAACCAAGGTAACTATCCGTAACTATTTGTAGAAACGGGTTACAAACCACTAAAGGCCACAAACCAAGTATACCCGCTACACACCGTTTTCTTGAGCCATCGCCACACAATCAATAGGGTGAAAAGTATGCATACATGTACTAGGACTGTGCAACAACACCCCCCGTGCAGTGTAATTACCGCACAGGAAGTGAAGCTGCAAATTAGGCTATGTACAGTCTAGTAAGGGATGCCATTACGTAAACCAATTAGGAAACATAACAACAAAACCCAAACCCGACCATCGCCTATCCTTTCGTAGTCCTTCGCATTTTCACCTCAGTGTGGCGTAGATGACAACAAGCGCAATAGCGAGCGCAATCCATTCGATCTGACATCAAGTTGAACGAAAGACGGATGCAATGCAAGTCAATTCGGTCGGATGCATTCAGCTTTATTTTAGGCTCAACCGGGCTTTTGGTCGAACATGCATTGTGGAAAAAGGTCATGGCCCGTTACATAGGCCTGCGTTTCCACGCGGCAACAAAAGTTCTTGTGGTCGCCCGGGAGCTTGCCAAAGCAAAGCGATTTGAATTATGGCAAAAAGCTGAATTCGGTTGAGTGAACCCGCAGGGAAGCATTGAGAAAAGCTTCAAAGACGCCTTAACTTCGCAAGGCAAGAGCTTCCGCTCTGCGGTACATGCAACTACCAGCCGTGTGCTCAGCAAGAAGGAATCATGGCAAGAATAAGATGAGTGCCAAATGCCTGCTTCAAATTATATGCATTCAAAGCGTTAAAGAAAATTTTGTGAACTTGAAATGAGGACTTAGCACACATGAGTTTGGATGTTGGTGGAATCGCGCACCCACCCGTGCAATGAAGCGAATCACCTACCTGCTACCTCGAATTACATCTCAGTAGGCAACAGCTTCCGCTGTGCGACACCTCATATTGAGAGTGCGGATTGTAAGGTGCACGGCCCTTAGGGTGCACGCGTCATGCCACAAGAGGTAGTCGGATAGTGACTATGCTCAGTGGTATGGGTGGGCAGAGTATCATGTTTCTCAGGTTATGAAGCCCAATGCACGCTGCCCAGTGCCCGCTTTGGATGAAGACCATTTGGAGAACTCATTTGGATAAGTGACGGCATTGATGTCGCACGGTGGCCTGCCAGTGCAAAAGGGCCGAGGAGCTGGAAAGAAAGTGGCCATGGCTGTGCCGATGTCAAAAGGGGGGCCGCGCCCCAGAGGAGGAAGATGAGGTAGCCAGGAAGTGCAGAAGTCGTCTTCATTTGGATTCGAAACCCAAGCAACAAGCGGGTCCTTGGCGAGGTGTCGCGCACGGGCGCGCCCGAACTCTGGTGAAGCGGAAGCCTGTGCTGACGCCAGGTGGAAGCGGATCTGGGGAGAGGGTTTGCGTAGCCGGCCCACCACCGGGGATCCTGAAAAACGCGTGCCAGATGCAGCCTGCTGCTTGTGCAAGCTGCAGGCTGGGGGGAGTGCGGATTGTAAGGTGCACGGCCCTTAGGGTGCACGCGTCATGCCACAAGAGGTAGTCGGATAGTGACTATGCTCAGTGGTATGGGTGGGCAGAGTATCATGTTTCTCAGAGAGAAACTATCCCGCCTCAGATGAAGAAGATTCATCAGGCGAGAGCTTCCGCTCCGCGATGCCTCAGCGGTACCCCGACCACCTGCGATCTTGGTATTGGTGGCCCTGATTTCGGCGACGCCAATCTTCCCACTCCTGGTCAGTCCACTGGCTGTAGAAATCATTCCACTCCTGTTGACTGTAGCCATGCGTTGGACCTTGGTGAGAACCATACCCAGGCCGGGAGGACCTGGTGTAGTCCGGGTTCTTCTGTTTGGTCGCTGGGAGGGGTCGGCTTCCGCCTTCCGTATCTTTGGCTTCTGTGAGAGGCCGCAGAATGTTGTCGACATAGCTGAGGATGTCGGCGTAGACATCCTGCTTGCTCAATGCCAACGACTGAAAGGTGGTGTTCGCCTCGCTGAGAACTTCGAACCTGTCATGGACCGGCAAGACCGCATACGCCGCCGCGAATTGATTCGCCCTGTAAAACCTGTTCCTGTACCAGAAGAGGACGTGGTCGTCGACCACCAGGGTTTGCATCTGGCCTGCTTCGTAGGCTACAAGACACATGCGTGCCTTGTATTGCCTGATCTTGCCAGTGCGAATCTCTTCTTTTGTGCGTTTGATGTTCGGGAGTACGACATTCCCAAGCACTGTGATCCAGTGCATGCACTTGGGTGTCAAATCCTGGACCGCACAATTAAAGGCGTAGTAGGCGTCCGTTCCCAGACGCTGGAGCAACGACATACCAGCTTTTCGCGCTTGTTTCATGTACGAGCGCGCGTGGTTCTTGAGCACGGCGGCTGCAGATCTGATCTGCTTCGAACCTTGAGTGGTTCCCGCCACGTCGTCGTCACCCAGCATATCTAAGGTGAGCTCAAAACCGAGCTTTTCAGCAAGCTCTTCCAGCCGGAACACCTGACATGCCCTGCGCATATCAGACATTGTGGCCAGAGAGAGGCCGCAGGCCAAGCAAATGAGCATCCCTTCAGGGAAGATCTTTCTGCACCGAGGGCACGTGAGTTCTGGCATAGCCAGCATGGAAACGTACCGCCAGCGTGTGAGGTTCCCCTCCGCGGCAGGATCAAATGCCTCCTGATCGAATCGATCAGAACGGCGTTCCCGCGCGTTGTCCGGAGAGATTTCAAAGCCTGCTGCTGTCACTGTCGGCTCTCGAGCGACGCAGAGCAAGTTCTTGAAGTTCAGGGGTCGCTGCTTGTGCTTCGGGAGGAGTTCGTCGACCACTTCATACGGAGTGTTGACCTCTTTGTAGATCAATGGTCGTCGCAGCGTCACAACATCCTTCCACTGGGCGTACTCGTTGGTGAAGAGGATCTTCAGAGCTTCAAGGTCGGAACATTCGTAGCGCTCCAGGCCTTCATACGCAGGAGTGCCCTTCCGAGCCTCGTTTTCCTCCCAGTAGAGAGCATTCTCCGAGGCCTTCTGCCGAAGGTATTTCTTGATCCCGTTGTAGCCATGGTTGGCCCAAAGGTATTGGGCCTTTTCGCAATCGAATGCGTAGTAGATGAGGCAATGGTTCAGGATCCAGTCTTCGCAGATGAGTGCCCCGGCCAAGGTTTCCACCAGGCGAATACCATAATGCAATGCGCAATCAGTGTCGATTGCCAAGCACAATGGACGATTTGTCCTGACACCAGGATCCTTGCCATCAATTTCCCCAGGGGCATGTCGTGTCATGTACACGTGGCCTTTGCACGACGATGCACCCGGGAAAATGCCGGTGCAAATAATTGCCTGAAGAGAGCTCCATGACGTGTATAGTGGTAGATGATGCGAAACTCTTCAGGGACCTCGGCTTCCGTCAGGTGTGGGTAGATCGGGACCCTTGGGTAGAGTCCTTTGGCAAGATCGTCCACAGAAAAGTCGTAGTTCAAAGAGATGATCTGTTTGACCAAAGGTGCCGTGCCCACCTTTTCAATCAGGGTTTGATCGTGTCCTTGGCATGCCTTCACGTGAGTGATTCTGTATAAGGCATATCCAAGGTTGTCAGTTCCCCGACAACGCCCGCCTCAATCCGACACATGAACCTGTCCTGGGTTCTCAGGATTAGGTACAAGTCCTGTTTCGAAAGATGCGCCCTGTACCTCTTCCTCAAGTAGCTGTACATGCCCTCGAAGTTGAGGTAGAGCTGGTTGTCAAACTCAGGAGGGATGATGCGATGGTGGGGCTCCAAGTATTGTGGTCGTAACCACGCAACAAGCCAGACACACGCTTGGCAAATTTTGAAGTCATCGAAGTTCAAGCGCCCAAGATCGCGAAGGCCAGGCAGGTCAGTGCACCTGATGGTGAAGTCCCTGCGCTCGCCCGTTCCCGGGGAGAAGAAGTACCATTTGGGGTATCCAGATGGCCTCAAGGGCGGTTCAGCCGGAGGCTGAGGTCCACCCGTTCCCGGGGGAGGAGCACTTGCAATCGGCGGCTCCTTCTTGGCAATCTTGGGCGCGGGCTCCAAAGACGGCGAAGCTGCAGATGCTGCTGACTTCTGCGGTGGTGCCCTTGGCGATGCTGCTGTTGACAAAGGTGGAGGTGCCTTGAATGGAAGTCCTGACTTAGCCATAGGCTGGTCCGCAGCTTCCGCTGGGAGCGATAGAGGATCCGGTTTTGGGGATCCCACCGTGCTCTTCGGCGTCGGCGGTGGACTTGGTTTTGGAGACGTCAGTGGTGATGTCACCGTCCCCGTTGATACCTTTGGCAATTGAGGCGCCTTCTTGTAGGAAATCATCGTCGCCTGGTCCTTGGTCTTCGGCTTGATGAACTGGCCGACTGTCTCTCCGATCACCTGCGCGATGCCACTCGAACTTGAAGCTGCTTCCGACTTGGTCGCAGCTTTAGCCTTGGCCTTCGACACGATCTCAAGAGAGGCAGCGGGGTCACCCGCGCGAAGCTTTTCTTCCGCGGACTTGGGCTCCTCGAAGATCTCCTTCTCCATCTGTCGGTGCTTCTCTTCATCTGTGAGGTCGTACCGACGGATGATCACCGCGCCTTCTTCAGTCACTTGGGTCGATTCCTTGCGCAGCTCAAGCTTTGCGGGATCCCTGGTCGCGTCGGTGTCCAGGATGTTGACCACGCCCGATCCATCCAATTTGAAGTCCACAGCGTGAATCTTGTTCATCAGATGGGAGCGCAGCTTCCGCTGGCTGAGGAGAGAGGCTGA